CCGAGATCTGCCGATGGTGAAGAAGCAGGCATTCAGTGGGTGGAGGAGCAGTAAGCCGTTTTTGGTCGGGAATTGATTCTTGCAGAGGCCATGAACCGGCCAACTTCAATTACTTATCGCTCTTTTTTACGTTTTTACGAGACCCGAATCGTGGTTATCAACTGCTAGAGAGTTGACCTGACTAGTTGAAAGATCCAAGGTGTCTGCCTGGGGGGGGGGGAGAGGTGGGGGCACATTTTCCTGCCTCGCTGACTGGCTAAATAATTGTGTTTTCTTTTTTTGTCTATTTCAGACGGATGCTGTAGAGGTTTGGCGAGGCCTAGAGCCGACCGGTTATGCCGCAGCAGTGGCATCGAGCTACGCCAGCGGCGGTGGCACCTTTTACGCCCCGATGAGTGCCAGTGCTGACGCCACTGCAAGTGTGCAGGCGCCACCTCCTGCTCTCATGACTCGCGAGGGCGTCTAAGGCATTCTCTCATCCTCTCGCCTCCCCCTCTAAAGCTGATGAACTGTGGCTTTTTATCACGCCTTTGTTTGCTGTAATAAATCCTGTGCTATTCTTTGCTCCTTTATTTGCTGTACTGGGAAGTGTCTAAGTGGGGTGGGTGTGTTGTGGTGGATTATGGTAGCAAGTTGTGAATTGGTGACTCCCCAATTTCGAGGTATTTGATGGCCCTGGTTTGAATTCACAAGTTGGTACGCTCTATGGGGATATGTCAAAATTGGGATTGTGATGTGTTTGATAGTAGTTACGTACGGCTATTCTGCACACTCCTAAGGCTCCACACCCCATTGGGAGGCGTTACGGTTCCACGAAATTTTTTTCCCTAATTGCGAGAATTCTATTAACTTGGGCCTTTATGTGTGTCGACCTAATTCCACAACTTGCTACAAGCTAGAGGCTAGTGCAGCGCTTTGAGGCTTCCTTAAAAGCGAACTAAGACCTTATTTTGGGGCAGAATATATGTATTTGACACAGAACCTAGGGCCTTTGGGTACGATGGCGGGGAACTTGCGTGCCCTTTAGCAAACATCCAGCGTAATCCAGGCCGAAGAGAACTTCCCCATTTATGGTTGCTTTTTAATGCAGAATTTTTATTTTGAGGACAATTTAGATCAAAGGACTTGATTTCTAGTCGAGATATAGTGTTGGAAAGCAAATTCGCAGGTAAAGTAATGAACAAGACGCCCCTGTATTGTCTATGTAATACGTGGTGCGTTACAAGTGCTGCTGGGCAGTATCGCATTTGTTTTCATTTAAAATAAATCTTACTTGTCTGCAATATAATTGGTGTTAAACCCTTCGCATTAAGAGGAGCATTCTCGTTTTATCAGTTTTGCTAGACTCCATTCTTTGGCATGAATAAATAGTGCGCCTCAATTGTCTTGATCGCCTTTTTTATAGATCTAGGATAGGTTAAACGGATTAGAATTTTGTTTATTCTTTCCTGTTTATCAAACCGTGATCTTTGGTACGATTTTCGGTCGTCCAGTACTTAGCTTTTATTGGTGCTGCTCTGTGCGCCTCAGTTATGAGTTCTCCTCGCAAATCATCCAGAAATCGCTCTCGAGTAAACTATGTAAAAGTATTGGATTGCGAGTCTGACGAAGATGATTTCCTCATTGATGGCTCAGGAATCCCAAAATCGCTTAAAAGGAAAAAGTGTCCGAGTAGCTATGACGAATATACCGAAGCTGTTTCACCTTCCACTTCGTCATTAAAGTCGGATAACAAGACGGTATCGCCGGCTTTTGCTACCACGAAGAGTAGGGCAGGCCGCTGCACGAATAAATCTGCATCAAATTCTACTGACGTTACTCCCCAGCCCCTTACGAAGAAGCCTCTCCTCTCAATACCTAAACTTGCTCCTTTGTCGGAAATAGAATCTGGAACCAAAAACATGCGCCAAAATTTACAAGCAGATCCCCCTAACAACTCAATGCCGTCGATAGAACCCTCTGTTCAACGGAATAGCACCCCCTCTCTGGTATGCGTGACATCCTCGTCGGCTCTACGCCTTGGTCTATCCCGCAAAAATATCAGAAAAACTCTTCATCCAAATGTTAGGTTGTCGCATTGATTGATGGTGCTTGAGGGTTTGTACATATTTGTTGTTGTATATTTCCCCTCCCGAAGTTAATTCCCTCTAAATGTTAATTTTAAAACGTAGTGTTTTCCCTATTTAATCGAATAGGGGAACAGTTCTCATTACAGCCATGTAGGTACTCCTTCTTGCGTTGCATATCGGATTTCCCAATGTCACATTTGTCAATGCATATCGGGGTTTGTTAAGGCGCTTAATTCTACCTGAGATTAGCATATCAATTCTTACATTGCTTCTGAAGGCATCGGGTACCTTTCAGCACCGGGGTGAGTCGATGGCTACTCAAAATGGGTCCACTTAGGTCGTTCATTTTCCTATAATGGTGACGTGGCTAGCGTCCCACCATCTCTCAGCCAACTTTCGGGAACCCTGTGACTTCGAATCATTGGTGTGGAGGGAGTAATACCGAGCCCCCTCCCTGTTGTCACCTGTCGGTATAAAGGTATGGAACTCCTGCTCTTGCTAAACATACCGGTTTAACTTCTCTGATCTTATCAAACTCGCGGTATGAGAATAATGAGTTCCTTCGGCTTCACGAGGAGCTACCGTGTGCGGAGGGACCGCACTCAACTAAATATCTCCACACTGTAGGGGTAATAACAGTCTGAGGCGGGACCACATAGCTCACATATCTTAATAAATGGTTTGTAGAGGTGTTTGTCATCTAGGGCGAGTGGTGAACGGCCCCCTCGTCGGTATGATCGAACCGTGAGGGGACAACGAATAGGTGATTCCGAAACTCCCGGCATCCCAAAGAAGAGACTTCATAGGATGAGGTAGGATGGATTTTAGGAAGTTTTCTGTGCCACAGCTTGGATGAAGACACGTTGTACTGCGAGGCCAGTCGCGCGGTTCTCGGTGCGCCGGTGGACGTAGGTGCAGCTCAGCACCGAAAGACCCGCCTCGGTGAGCAGGTGGGTCAGTTCGGCACGTGTGAAAAAGTAGGCGAATGTCCCGTCCTGTCGACGGTAGAGAGGGCGCTCCGCCAACACTCGTGCACCTCGCCCGAAGCGCATTTGACTGTAGTCGTGCAATCCATAGTCACGTAACAGCAGTTTACCGTCCGGCCGCAATGCTCTGAAATGTTTGGGGAGGAACTTGAGTCATCTTAATCAAGTGGACAGTAAGAATGATAGCACGCAAAATGAAAAGGTGTCATAGAGGCATTATAATGTTAAATTTATTGTTTTTAAAGTTGCGGATAATGTGAGGTAGAGAGCAAGAACTCACTGAGCAGCATTCTGGAGACAGAAGGCCATCTGGAGGGGGTGGATAGCTGAGAGAACAAAAATGAGGGTTACAAGATGGAAGCCGATGGCTGGAGGCACCTCGGTAATGGAGGAATGCTCCAGCAGCGCAGGTGTCGGTGCAGCAGAGAGCGATTTCGCCAGCGCGCCCTCGCACGCCACATCGCAAACGAAGACGGAGACGAAGTCGGTGGTGAACATTGGATTCGCCTGTACTGTTGCCACAGCCTTTGGTGAGATGTCGCAGGCATAAAAGATAACTGGAGTTTAAAGGAAGAGAGAACCTCGTCACCTATTAATATTTAATCAAGGTGAATGGCGTGAGTTTTTGTGAAGCTAGTGAAAGGCATCAAAAGGCCAGTCGAATCGAGGTGAAATGATTTCAATCAGATGAGACTCTTCTACAAGTTCATGAAACGTTGCTACCCATCGATGTGGGTGTGGAGTAATTGCGATGGTAATTTAAAATCCTGAGACATCAGAGTGATCCAAGAAGTATCAACAAGGTACCAAATAATTAGGTAGTTTATAGTGGTCGACCTAGAGAACCGTTAAACAGTCCACTATCAGAAGAAAGCATTAGTCAGAGACACCTACAACTCGGATTAGCAGTCCTGGTATCATACCTAGTGTGAATTACACCTTCGCTTTGAAATTTGATGAGAAAACATTCTGTTCGTTACAGAACAAATTTCAAATACAATACACTTGAGCAGGATCTTGCCTGGCTTCTTCCGGCCTGCATTAAGATCTTCAATGAGAGGAAACATGAAATTCCCCACACCGCACCCAACTTCCAGAATAATCACCTGAACGTCCTCGTCTTCGGAGATTTCCGCTAATTCTCGAAACTCGCGTTTGGTCCAATGTCGATTCTAGACGGCATAAATAGCGTAGATGAGATCTAGGTTGGAACCCATGTGTTTCCCGTACGATCAATCTCAAACAAACCTTGAAGAACCTTGCTCCGTGTCGATTGTAAAAACGATCCCAATTACGACCAGCATCCTTTTGTAGTTTTTTTTGCTCAAACGGACTACACATAGTCGACAACTGACGATCAATAATGGACTGACCCTCTTCAGAGATGGTGAGGTCTTCAAGAGCCTCAACCGAAGAAGGATCTGTCTTCTTATCCTCGCCTTATCAAACAGAAAGATTCATGAGTCCTACAAATGATATTAACCAATCCTATAAATTTGTGGCACTGGTCATCAAGCTTACCCATGCTGATCTCCTCAACATCATTTACTTCTGCATCACTAGTTTCTTCATTCTCCGTTTCTTCTGATCTGAATGGAAGAACAATTTAAAATAAATCTAGGGAATTTGTTCAAAAAAACAGGGAACAATCCAAACGCCACGAACTGGGAGTTCTCGCGGTCTGATCCCATTTCCGCGTTGAGGTCAGCATAAACTTCTGAGTAGCTCTGAGGTTTTTTATTATTCTTTGCCTCCAGCTGCGCTACGTAGCGTTTTTGAACATCCAACACCTCCGTATCATCTCGACAGGCCTGATAGGTGGAGAGGAGATCTTTATTAACTTCAAAGAAGGAAGGACCCCACGAGAAATACGAGAGCACGCGGTGTGCCTCCTTCTCCCAGCCGAGAATCGACAAGCAAGCAGCAAACGCCTCCGCGCAGCTCAACTTGTGTGGACGCCCATAGTTGACAGAGTTGACAGCCAAAAGATAAGGAAGCAGTCGCCCGTGGTGATATTTGAGCTAAAG